ACTAAGTTAACTGTTACTAATGATAAGGTAAAAGTGGTTAAAATTTTGAAAAACTTTAAAAATCTGACGTCAGCCATAATTGATACAGCATCGAGAACAGTTTTTAACCTGAATGTCACCAATCTTCGTAAAATCAAACAACTGGTTATTGCAACTATTGACAGTTTTGAGTGTGGTCTACAGTTTTTTAATAATGATACTTTTCAAGGATTATCTAAGCTTGGATTTGAAGTTCTTGATCTCTCAGGGTGTACAGCTCTTGATATTCAGGATGGCTTTCTGAAACCTTTAGAAGTTCTGAGGACTTTTTTGTTCCAATCGGGAATCTTTCCAATAAAAGTTGGATTGCCGGAATTAATACAATCGTTGCGATTTTATATGAACAAATCTATGACAGAAATCAATCTCTCCTTTCCAAACATAGATTCGCGACTGTTTTTAGAAGATCTGACTATAATATCTATGGAAATATTAGGTAATATTTGTGTTGAAAAACTTATTTTATCCAAAGGAGATATTAATATTATAAATACCATAAACGCAGTTGTTCATATCAAATCAGGACATCTTGTTTTTCCGTGTCTACAAAAGTGTATTAAACACCTAGATGTATCTCATAATCGTATTTCAGGCACATTTTTTAAGCCAGAACTCTTCCTAATAGCTTTTATGGAAAATCTCGAGTTTGTTGATTTATCGGGACAGTATCTCTTTCAGCGAAGATATGATTATTCGTTTTCTACAGCTTTTTCGACATATGCTGACACACAGCCTTTGCCAGATATAATTTTCTTAATGCCCAAAAAATTAAAACATTTTAACTTGGGTGGAGGTATCTATAGAATAGGTCAACTTCTAAATATTACTTTTGAAAATGCACATAATCTAAGATACCTCAACTTTTCATTAAATGGACTCTATGGTTTTAATGTAACTTTAAAAGGTCTGCAAAATCTGAAAACCTTGGATTTGAGTGGAAATGATGTCAGCGTTATCATTGAAACATTTTTTGACACTTTTCCTAATGTGACACACTTGAGACTGGCTGATTGTTTTTTGGATAATGACTTCATCTTAACACACGGTAGACGTTTATTTCAACCCTTAAAGAAACTTGAACAATTAGATTTATCCAGAAATAATTTGATCAAGCTTCCAAAAGATATATTTAAATCTCTGAATCAACTGAAAATTATAAATCTGGCATTTAATAAACTTTTTTCACACCCAGACTATCTTAATACACCGAACCTTCATATACTATACCTTAATTTCAATAATTTTATTAGCTTTTCATCTCAAGAAATACAAATGTTCAACAAATTAGAACAGATGAGAAAAGATAAAGGCAATTTAAAACTTTATATATATGGTAACTCATTAGCGTGTACATGTGAAACTTATAGTTTTATATCGTGGATAACTTTCACTACTATTGAGTTAGACAGAAAAAACTATACGTGTATAGATCAGAAAGGTGACTTGATATTTACCGCTGATTTCAAAAATTTAAATTATATTCAATTGTGTCTGTCATCTGTAGTATTGAATATTTCTGTTTTTCTAGCAGCTGCTATCTTAGTGATAATGTTTACAGTATTTGTTGTTGTCAAGAATAAATTGGCTGTTAAAATCTTCATTCAGAGATTATTGGGGAAATTTGTTTATCCAAAACGTCGTCAAGATTTTAAATTCGATGCTTACATTATCTATCCTGAATCTTTGTATCAATTAGTTTGTTTTGACATGGTTGAAAACGTAGAAAAACAATTTGCTTTGAAATTCTATATTCCACATCGTGATCAATTATTTGGTCTGTGTAAAGAAGAAGACATCACAGAAAGTTGTAAAAACAGCTGGAAATTAGTGTTAATCTTAACTCAGGAGTTCATGGATGAACCATTGGCTTATTTCACTCTTTCTTCCTGTTTAACATCAATTACATTAACAACACCAAATAGACTGATACTAATAATGGATTCTAAATTAAACATTTTACCAAACATTGAATTTTTCCTAGGAAGTGTGTCAGAATCCAATGTTTTGTATACTGATCTTGATCAGCCTCTTCCCCATGAGCTCTGGGCCATATTAGGTGAAAATATTAATCGTGATGACCAAAATTAATTCTTATTTTAAATGGTGGTTATTAAATTATGTTTTTAACCTACATGTATTTATACATTTTATTTCCTTAAATAACGGAACACAATATATGGTATACTTCTTCTGAGCATTGTCGTCTTGAATCGCCTCCAATCGTCCCTTGTTTTAACCCAATCACATGATGGATGGATGAATCGGGCTTTCTAAGTTGCCTTATAGGGTTGTTTCTCAAAGAATCTCTTTGATCCAATCCTTTTTTTAAGGCAATCGTGTTTTTTTCGCGCAAAAAGTTGGGAATCTTTAATAACTATCGATCACTACCTTGTACCTTCAAGTGATGATCTGTGGCGATCAAACTATCAGACAGTGACCGCCTAGGTCCCCTTGTCTCATTCGTAACTTGAGGCTCTCGGTTAACTAAAAATCGAAAACCGTTTACTTTCGACTTCTTGTGGCAGCACGCATCAACATACGCCTACATTCGGCCAATCTCAGCGTGTACTTGCCCGAACTTTCATATATCTGATTTCTTGGTGAAATGGGTGTTTTAACGAGGAAGATCGTTTAATAAACAGAATTGTCCTACTTTTATCTGCATCTTTTTTTTATTTAAGTCTTTCTGAAGTCCTGAACTTATTCAAGTTGTATCGATACAAGGGTGTCCCATTTGTTAAACATTCCGATAGCTGCACCAATTTTTGTTTTTGTATTGTTATAAATATTAGTATATTATTAAAGGTGCATTTTGTAACCCGCGAATTGCGTGCAAATATATTTGTCAAGTACAAAACGCAACCGATGTAAACAATTTTGTTACCATTTATTCCGTAATCATTCTGTATTTCTTTCAAGATACCATCACAAGTTTCGTATTGTTGTCAACAGAAAAATGTGGACATAAGTTCCGAACGCAAATAAACAAAAGTGGAGCCGATATGTTTTGTAGGTTTGAGGTTCGCATCCACTTATGCAGGTGATCGAAGATATAAGCGATGTGGGTCGCATGATAATACGACACTAGGATGTAAACCTATACTATGGAATGTTTAGAATAAAAGCTTGACTGCACAACAAAAACAGTGGATGAAATTACATAGATGTCGTCTGAAAGGACTTTTAACAAGTTATTTAAAGGACGATAGTACAGATAAGCAAATATATTGTTAAAACACAAAACACTCGTCAGCGAAATTATCAACGAAACATTAATTCGTCTAGAAAACTTTTTGAAGAAATTTTCAAACTATAATATTTCATATTACACACATATTACTTGTATATATTTTACACAAATCATTATTTTTCATTATTACTTAATGATCTAAACACCAGAAAAGAAATATTTCATAAATTGCAGAAACTACACAAGTAGCAATACCCATTTTTCGTTATGGTGACACTAGAATTCACAATTTGTACATGCCTTAGACCAATCAGTAACACTTTTTCGAATAATATGACGAACAAAAATTAGGACATGGCAGACAATTGTACTTTAATATATCCACACACATATAAATAAACATCAACAGGGAAAAATCTCACTTTACCATTCAGTTTATTATAACTATACAAGGATTTATAATCAGCAAGATGTTGTGGTCTTTATCGTTGGTGATACTGTACTCAAGTTATATAAGAACATATAATCTGTGTAATAAGGAAGGGATATTTTGGGATTTAAAGAATCACAATCTCACGTATGTTCCTGAAAACATTCCAATCAATACTACTACATTGGATTTATCATTTAACCAACTAACCACCATCAGAAACAAAGATTTCCAACATTTAGACAATCTGGTTTGCTTAATTCTCAGCTTTAATCCTATTTCTCATATAGAAGAAGAAGCTTTTGTAGGATTGGAAAAGTTACAGATGTTGGAATTAAACAACCATTCTTTGAATAATCAAGTGTTTGATCCAGATGTGTTTTTACCCATTCAAAATCTGCACAATTTGTCGATGAGAACTAAGTTAACTGTTACTAATGATAAGGTAAAAGTGGTTAAAATTTTGAAAAACTTTAAAAATCTGACAACCGCCATAATTGATACAGCATCGAGAACAGTTTTTGACCTGAATGTCACCAATCTTCGTAAAATCAAACAACTGGTTATTGCAACTATTGACAGTTTTGAGTGTGGTCTACAGTTTTTTAATAATGATACTTTTCAAGGATTATCTAAGCTTGGAGTTGAAGTTCTTGATCTCTCAGGGTGTACAGCTCTTGATATTCAGGATGGCTTTCTGAAACCTTTAGAAGATTTGAAGACTTTTTTGTTCCATTCTGGAGTCTTTCCAGTTAAAGTTGGATTGCCTGAAGTAATACGTTCATTGCGATTTTATATGAACAAATCTATGAAAGAGATCGATCTCTCTAATCGAGATATTGATTTGCGACTTGTTGTAGAAGATCTGAATATAATATCTATGAAAACTTTAGGTAATATTTGTGTTGAAAAGCTTATTTTATCCTATGATAGCATTAACATTATAAATACCATAAACTTTTATGCTCAAATCGAATCAGGAAAAATTATTTTCCCTTGTTTTAGAAGGTGCATTAAACACTTAGATATATCTTATAACCGTATTACAGGCAAAATTTTTAAGCCAAGCCTCTTTTTTTTCGCCTTCATGGAAAATCTCGAATTTCTTGATATATCTGGACAATATCTATATGATCGTAGATATGATTTTTCGTTTTCTACAGCTTATTCGACATATACTGACATTCAACCATTGAAATATGTAATTTTCTTCATGCCAAAAAAATTAAAATATTTTAATTTGGGCGCAGGTGCTTATAGATTGGGTCGACTTATGAATATAACATTTGAAAATGCTCATAATCTAAGATACCTTAACTTTTCTTTAACCGGTCTTTATGGTTTTAACGTTACTTTACGAGGTCTTGAAAATGTGAAAACATTAGATATTAGTGGAAATGATGTCCGCGTTATCATTGAAACATTTTTTGACACTTTTCCTAATGTGACACACTTGAGACTGGCTGATTGTTTTTTGGATAATGAGTTCATCTTAACACACGGTAGACGTTTATTTCAACCCTTAAAGAAACTTGAACAATTAGATTTATCCAGAAATAATTTGATCAAGCTTCCAAAAGATATATTTAAATCTCTGAATCAACTGAAAATTATAAATCTGGCATTTAATAAACTTTTTTCACACCCAGACTATCTTAATACACCGAACCTTCATATACTATACCTTAATTTCAATAATTTTATTAGCTTTTCATCTCAAGAAATACAAATGTTCAACAAATTAGAACAGATGAGAAAAGATAAAGGCAATTTAAAACTTTATATATATGGTAACTCATTAGCGTGTACATGTGAAACTTATAGTTTTATATCGTGGATAACTTTCACTACTATTGAGTTAGACAGAAAAAACTATACGTGTATAGATCAGAAAGGTGACTTGATATTTACCGCTGATTTCAAAAATTTAAATTATATTCAATTGTGTCTGTCATCTGTAGTATTGAATATTTCTGTTTTTCTAGCAGCTGCTATCTTAGTGATAATGTTTACAGTATTTGTTGTTGTCAAGAATAAATTGGCTGTTAAAATCTTCATTCAGAGATTATTGGGGAAATTTGTTTATCCAAAACGTCGTCAAGATTTTAAATTCGATGCTTACATTATCTATCCTGAATCTTTGTATCAATTAGTTTGTTTTGACATGGTTGAAAACGTAGAAAAACAATTTGCTTTGAAATTCTATATTCCACATCGTGATCAATTATTTGGTCTGTGTAAAGAAGAAGACATCACAGAAAGTTGTAAAAACAGCTGGAAATTAGTGTTAATCTTAACTCAGGAGTTCATGGATGAACCATTAGCTTATTTCACTCTTTCTTCCTGTTTAACATCAATTACATTAACAACACCAAATAGACTGATACTAATAATAGATTCTAAATTAAACATTCTACCAAACATTGAATTTTTCCTAGAAAGTGTGAAAGAATCCAATGTTTTGTATACTGATCTTGATCAGCCTCTTCCACAAGAATTTTGGGCCATATTAGGTGAAAATATTCAAGATGATCATGCTTAATTCTTCTTTCTACGGGGCGTTTAGTGTCATATTTTTATTCTGTTGAATAGTCTACATGTTATTTTCTTAAGAATCATTATTTGTTTTGTGGCTGATATTTTTTTTTATCTCATTCTGGTAATTTTCTGTGAGAAAAAAAAAAGTATAGCGTTTCTGGCTCTATCAGTTATCGACACTTTTACAGTGAATATAGATTATAAAACTGATCAATTTTGCAAAACCAGAATGGGCGTTAATGCAAACCCTTTTCGCAGTCTGTTTATATGTGGAACAATTTGTCTTAGGCTTTCTTAATGCTCTTCAATCAAATTGTTTTCTATAAAATTCAAAGATTAAAAAGTTATTTGTTTAAAAAAAAACTAAATATTTCCCGCCTGTTCCGGATTGATTTAAATCTCACAGGATAAAAACATGCTGCCAATCAAATTAAAGTGTTTGATAAAATGTTTTGAATTAGTTTTGGTTTGGGGCTTGAGATCTTCCCGATTAACGAAATCACTTCCGATTTAGGTCTCAAGATAAAGATTTTCTATGAAATGTAATTCAAATCACCTGAGCAAAAAATATAAACCGGAAGTGGACCATTACCCCTTATTTAATTTTTTTTTTTGTATTATGTCAACAAAATACATTGCATCTTTATCTAAAACTAGTTGGGAACAGAATTTCGCTTTTAGAAATATAAATCAGTCATAATCAGAATGTACTCTTTATCCTCTTTACACGATATATGACATGAATGATTAAATCCATAGTTTTGAAGCTTTTTTGCTTTTGTTTGTTTTGTTGCTTTTTTGAGGGGCGAGGGGGAGTCTTTTGTGTTTTTTTTTGCCAATACTTGCAAATTTAATCTGTTGAATGTTTGTAATTTTATTTGTCATACTTATTTTTAGAAAAAATAGTACTAACACCATTACTTGATATTCAAATACTGATAATTTCAGTAATTATTAAACTGTTTCGCAAACTATCGACAAAATGTCGAGCTTCTAAACAACTCGTGTATTACACATTGTATAAATGACATGAAATGGTGAACGGCATGAATTTCTGCCATTGCGGCGGCGCAAATTCACATATTCTTTAGATTAAAATATACAAGTTTTTGTTGATAAGTTATTCCTTTATTGTACAAAAAATTGCTCTGGTATAAAACATACAAGTTGTATATAATGCATAGTATATATGTTTGTATCCTAATTGAGTTATATACATGTATTAACATAATTGTTTGAGAGATATGTTAATAAAGTATTTATAAACAAAAACAAATTGATTGTCTAAACCCCCATACTTCTAGAGCATCAGCCCTAATTCATAAGTTCTAGCAGCATTATTCATCATGATATTACGATGGTATTTATTTTATTCCAGATATTATCATAAAACTATACTTTCGATTTCCCTAACAGGTCCAAATTATAAATAAAAAGAAAATCGATGCGGGGCAACAGATTAAAATATTTCGTTTCATGTGAAACAAATGGTCATTCCGGATTTTATCAGAAACCTTTAGTTTCGTTGTACAAATCGTTTTTGTGCAGTTGGGCACCATGCGGCAAGTTGGGCAATGCAGCAAAACGAACCCACCGTGTAGCTCACGGGACCCCGGTTTATTGTCCCATCCGAACGACTAGACGCTTTTTCCAAGTCAGCCCCATATTACCTGCATCGCTGACAGGGGGAAACAGGGTTGACAAATCCGACGGTATTATCTTGACCTATGCCGAGATTTCATTTAAGCCATTTATATATTCTTTATTCATCATAATAGGGTCATACGATTAGGTCAGTGTGAATCATGTCAAACTAAGCAGTCATGATAATCATTTTCAGAAACTCTCAATTACTACGTTAGACTCTGGAATTTGATTATCTTTGGTTTATTATTAACCGATTATTTGTCTTATCTGTAACACAAAATGGACATCCGGAATAGAGTGTATGCCATAACCCGTGAAAGTAGATTTTCTACTTAAGCTAGTATATATTTTAATGATGACCGAGTGGCCTTTAAGTTAGACACGTTTGTTTGTTATTGAGTTACTTGAATTATAGATAATGGTAATGGTAATGTATATAACCATGTGATGAGAGACAAATTGTAACCATTTTGTCCTTAAACGAATATAAAAAACAATTTTATTGTGTATGGTCAAACAACAGCAAAGATGTTTGTGCAGTACGATTTAAAACATAAAAAAGAAGTAGTCCATATTATATTCAGGTAGCTGAAATCCTAATACGTCTGGCTTGTCAAGTTTCAATAAATGTTTATCAACCACAAATAAAATTGTGAGCCCTTGTATGTGCAGAAATGGTGTTCTACATCCGGGTATGAGTCGTAACATGGTACAATATAGAATGAATGCACAATTTAGTGCTCCAGCATGTCAATTTGCTTCTATCAACCTAAAATAGAAATAAATGGACGGCAGGTGTTTTGTGTTTTGTATCGTACCCGGAAGTGCACAAATATTTTTTACAGCAGTATTATTTCATTATGACGCCTAGACTAAATACAAATTATATGAAAGATTTACATGTAGTAGTAAATCTATTTTTAGATGACGTGTCCTTTACCTTAACCTTTGCGCAAAGTTCGCTGTCTCGTTTTCAGAGCAACTCACGCTTCACGCTTCCTCCATTTTGCCTAGCGGCTTGTTTGTAAAGTCTCTTGAAAAATCGAAGGAATACAGGAAGTGCAAAAGTCAAAGACGTTTTCGAGACAATCAACAATGAAATGGAGGACGAAAATTCTACTATTGAAGATGGAGAAACTGTGATTGAACACAGTGATCCCGCTACAAGTAAGTCAGTAATAAAGGCCTCGACGTCAAGACCTCAGACGACCATGTCAACGAGTACAGCGTTATTGGGTCAATTCAGCAACATTGTACCACACTTGTGTCTAAATGGGCTCGTTGCTGAACATAACACCGAAGATCAAAGTGAAGATACAGAATTAATGTCACTTCAACAACAACTATTCAGTATTCGAACAGAACGTCGAAAAGCGGTGATACGTAAGCAAATTGCTGAAGAAAGAACCAGGATTGATGCACTCTCCCAACCTCCTCCCGCTACATTGAATCCAACTGCAAATCCAGGGACAACACCTGTTCCTGCAGTACAGCAAGGTGAGCAAATTACAGAACCACTATGTCAGAATCCTACTAGAGGTATTCTGGTAGATCTAGACACCACTAAACCCAACAAGGTGCTACAAATCATAAACTTCCTTTGGCAAGACCCAGTTGCTGTCAATACCTATTCCTTTGGCGATGGCCTAGAATTTCGAATTGGCCGGAAAAGGTCACTTGAGAATGTTAGTGTAGAGGAATGGGGATATGCAAACACGCGGATATTACAAGAACTGATGAAGCTTGATCCCGGGTTCCACCCTAATCCTTACCTTAAATATACAGCTGATATATTTCGCCTTGCTGGTAAATATGTTTGGTACTCAGTCCTCCTTTACGATAAAGAGTATCGCGAGCGCCAGGCCATTGAGAAGTTTGAATGGGGTACCTGTTTGCAAGATTTAAGGAAATTTCAGCTCATAATTAAGAAAGATCACCCAACGGCTTTAGCCTTGCAAGAACAAAATTTGGCACACAAAAATACAAAACCAGTGGGGTATGGCAAACCAAGTTCCAATTCAAATCCGACTAGTGTGCGCAGGAAAGGGCTCTTCACGTCGGAGGGTAGAGAGATCTGTCGTAACTTTAATAATAATATGTGTTATAGAAAAGAATGTAGATTAACACACAATTGTGCTATTTGCTTATCTAATCAACATTCAGCGCTTGATGGTCACGGTCCTAATGTAAAGACACAAGTGCCTAAAAATTTTCGACAACGGACTGCTTAGATCAACAGTGCTCTTCAGGAGTTATTCCCCTTTATAACAACTGTTTGGATTATCCTGCTTGGGAACGGCTCCTGCCAGCAGATTATGACGAAAGGGAATTTTTACTCTCGGGAATAAAAGACGGTTTTCGCTTAACTACTCAGTATGGCCCACATTTACCCGTTGATAGAGATAATTACACCTCTACATTCACTTATCGTGCCAAAGTCGAATAACAGATACTTTTTGAGCTGTCTGTGGGTAATTATGTGCCCGTGTTAGAAAAACCTACAATAATAAGTTCGCTGGGGGTCATACCGAAACCAAACGGTGATGTGCGTCTCATACACGATGCGAGCCAACCAGTGGGGAATTCATTAAACTCGCTCACCTCAGACACCAACTGCTCATACATGGATCTAAAGTATGCTCTTAAAATTATAACTCCGAACTGTTTTTTAGCCAAAGTGGACCTCAAAAGTGCATATCGCTCAGTACGATGTCACCCTTCTGAATATTCTTTAACTGGACTGAAATGGATTTTTACCGGAACCAAGGAGCCTGTATATCTGTATGATGCCAAATTACCCTTTGGGCATGCGCGAAGCCCACAGATTTTTCAAAAGCTCAGTGCTGCAGTATGCTTTATTATGAAATTCAGATGCAACGTTACTTGTATTGCGTACTTGGATGATTTCCTCGTCATCGAAAACTCCTTGGCATTGTGTGACAGAGGACTAACGTTATTACTCAAAACTTTAAGGGTGTTGGGCTTTAACATTTCTTGGGACAAAGTTGAAAGCTCAGCCCAACGCCTATCATTTTTGGGCATTACCATCGACACTCGTCAATTGACTTTGTCAATGCCACAGGCGAAACAGTTGGAATTTTTGACAGTGCTATTGAATTTTCAAAATCGCGCCAGTTTAAAGCAACTTCAATCACTATGTGGAAAGCTCAACTGGGCATGTCAAATGATTAAAGGTGGTAGGGTGTTCTTAAGACGAGTGATCGATATGACTACTTCCTTAATGGGAAGAAACTGCAAATTACAATTATCTGAAGAATTTCATTTGGATATATCTTGGTGGGTGAATTATATGACACTGTTTAACGGAACTGTGAAATTCTTGGATCGCAATCCCATTACCTCATTGCAAACTGACGCCTCCGGTGCAGGCGGGGGAGGGTACTATCACGGTGACTTCTTTTATGTTAACTGGGCCCTTGATTTACCGATATTTACAATGGAACATATAAATGTGAAAGAGACTCTTGCTGTCGTCCTGTCAGTGGTAAGATGGGCTCCATTGTGGACAAATAAAACTGTTGTAGTTGCTACAGATAATATGACGACCAAATGCATCCTTAATAAGGGCTCTTCTAAAAACAAACTTTTAATGATGTGTTTACGTGTTCTATTTTGGCTATGTGCCTTTTATAACTTTGAATTGAGGGCTGTGCACATTAAAGGTAGTGAGAATACTACAGCTGATGCTGCATCGCGCTTACATGAACCTTATCAAGTGGAGCGCTTATTTGATATTTTGTCTAGCTATAATTTTTATTTTAGTAGTGCTTAATCACATGTCTTTAAATTTTTATCTTTATAGGTGGTGTAACTATCTCCTTCCTGGTACAAACCGTATCCAGACTACAAGGCAAGGGGTGGGCTAAATCTACCATCGGTACATATAAGACACACTTAAAGTGTTAGATGGAATTTTGTAGACGAATTGGACTTGAATCGATTCCGGTAACTCAGCATACTATTGAACTTTATATTGCATTTCTTGTTGATGTTAAGAGATTTGCTTACAGTTCGATTATTTCTTATTTGAATGTTATATCCGTAATTCACAAGTTGAATGGGTGACCCCTTGATAGAGTGGCCGATTAAGTTTTTGCTTAAAGGTATTAAGCGCGATTTGGGTACGGCTCAGTCTTGCAATTTACCCCTTCCTTCTGATATTTCGTATGAAGAATATATTGTCTCCTTCGATTAATAATTCTGTATTTTGGGCTGCATGCTTGTTGGGCTTTTTTGGATTTTTAAGACCAAATAATTTCTTAGTTAAGGGACCTTTTGATACCACTTATAATATTCAGCGTAAGGACGTATCACAAGTTGATTGGGGTCTGGTCATTCTTTTGAAAGTGCAATTTCGCTCAAAACCCATTACAGTTTTCTTCCCCAAGCTTACTGGACACACCATGGATCCACATTCTGCCTTACTATTGTTGTTATCTCACCAAGCTCTTCCAACTGACCCGTTGTTCATACTCGATAATCAAAGTTGTTTAACTTATACTACATTCCTAAAGGCACTACGCTCTCTACTTACTCAACTAGGCTTGCCGCCAATGATTTATGGTGGACATTCTTTTAGGCGGGGTGCAGCTACTTGGGCCAAACAATCTGGTCTCTCGGACAAGGAAATTCAAACTTTAGGCTACTGGTCAAGTTCCTGCTTTGAACGTTACGTTGACTCTGACACCCCTAGCCGCTTGGGTGCTCTAAATACTTTTACATCTAAACTTCCCAACTTCTAAAAACCTTTCTGTCATAAAATCCACTTTTTAAGGGTTTGGGAGTTTTAATATTTGTAATGTATGTTGATTTTATTATGTTTATGTGTTACTTTGTATTACATTGTTGTACTTTGTAATTGTTAATTAAAATGTAGTGCCAATTTCATATTGCTCTTTCATTTGCCTTTGCTTGAAGATCGTCAGGTAAATTAAATTATAACATATCAGTGGTAGTAATTCATAAATTGTATACTATCATAAATAAAAAAAATATGTGTAAAAACTGCCGAGATCATACGATTTTGTACCTATTTATTGCGAACAACCATTCAGAAATTAGGCGATACAATTTATTATAGGACGAGTGGATAGTGAAAACTGGCCATTATAATCAAGCAGTAACGAGCATTAAAGTATTTCAGCTGAGAAAGAAAATTATGAGTAAGTCATGATTGCTATCTTTCGGTCTATCACTAAATGAAGAAAGTGTCGCTTCCTGAAAGAAATTGATTCTGAAATCTGCTTTTCACGTAATTTCTCGGTCAGTAAACGATTATTATGTTGTAGTAAGCACATACGTTCGTCAGTTTTGCTGGTCATAAGTTTGTTACGTTTCTAATTCAAGATCCCACCATACTGTGCCTGCTACAGCAATAATACTCCATGGTATATACAAAAAGTCGCTTTTGGGAATTTTCCTTGAGAAATTAGGTGTATAATAAGATTTTTTCGAAAGCTTGAAAATATTTCGATTTCTGTTTTCTAATGAAATAGACTTTTGCCACGACAAGATTTCGTTGGAAACAAGAATTAGGCTATACCTAGGGTCAAAATTGGCGAAGTGGCCATTTTAGTATCAAGTGGGGTCTGACATCTGCCTCTGCCGTTTACTGTATTCTAGCTTTACAGGTCGAGGTAAAAACCAAAACTTTGACAGTCTGTCGCTCGATGACGATCAGAGATGTAAAGTGCATGAACACCGATCTGAAGTTGTTCTGTTCTTACCGTGCTTAGTCTGTCTGTTACAATAATTATAGGCTGAGATTCGAAAACTATCAGTTATGTAAGGTTTCAATTTGAACTGCATTCATATACATGAATATGATCACTTTGGGGCACATTATTCCTTCTAAAAACGTCGCATAAAATACCGTAGGCTATTACATTATGAAATATAAATGGGAGAAGAATAGAAAGTAATTGATTTACCGTGTCTGATAGGAAAATATAATATGGTGTATTAAGTCAGTGGATCATGTCTCCAATGTATCTTGACAATATCATTTCAAGGTGTGTTTCATTTCCAGGAGACATTCTGTCATTGTCAGTCTGTTCTTGTGTGTAGCGAACCAAATGGGACTGGACTTAAGCGCACAATTTACATAATCTGAAAGTATTGTGCAGATAAAGAAGAAAACTTCTTTACATCAAAAATATGGACATTATCTTCAGGCCCAAAATCGAGTGTACTTACTGTCCTACTTGATGAAGCAAGTTTACACTCCGGTGACAATATGAAATTGTGAAGGAGTGGGTTCTGAATTCCAGCCAGAATTTATCTCCTTGCAGACGGTATCATGGCTTTGCCCATTATCGTAAGCCCAATTTGCAACAAATTATTAAATCATAAAATACCACGCAATATTCTATTCCTTCACTGGGTAAGGCTATTTTTCTCAGCAGACAACTCTGAGAAACTTTTTTCAAAATATCCCACTCGTACAGTATGAAAGATAAGGGAACAATGGTGCAAATGTTGACACCTACAATGCTGGAAATTCTAGTAATGTAGAAAAGGCTTTGGATTTCAAACTTTTAGAAGCAGCTACAAATTCTTCTTATAAAACAGTAAAATCTCAATTTCCGAATAGCAAATTTTTTCAACAAAGTTGTTGTTTTGTCAAAATAGATACGAGTAATTTATAACACTCCGTGACTTTAAAGAATAAATTGTGCCGCAATATTGGACTCATTATCACTTACCAGTGTCATTCTGGTTGAATTTAACTCGGTAGATAATATAATAATAATAATGACATCGATCAGACAAAATTTGACTCATGCATGTATGGAAACTCTCTCAAGTTCTACGCATGTTATAGGTAGGTAGGTAGATGACAAGTTAACGTTCGCTTCCAGCGGATGCTGATATCGCAAACTAGGTAGTTGTTGGTAGTCGTTGGTAGTTGGATTGGATCAAATTGGATGATTCGATGTTGTTGGTTTGGTTGTTGATTCTTCGTTAGATCTGGTCGGGTCGAATGACATGGCGGTGAAACTCGGCCCTGGATGGTGTGCGTGAGTTACTCGGCCTCCTTTATTCTTCTACGCATGTTATTACGTTTGAGGAAAGTTATAGGTAAGTCGGTTAAGACATCTGTTGTCATGGGTTCATATCTTGTTGCAATATGAATCTGTTTCAAAAATGCGTGCAGTAGTATCGTTTTGCGAAGAGTAATTTTGCACTGGGTGATTAAAGGGAGATAAGAAGATAATAAATATAATAATTTTTATAATTTCCTCTAAAAGGCCCAAAATTGATTTTGATTATATAGGACTCACTCCACTAAAACATTTTATAGGAATGTAGTCCAGGTAGTCCAGGCTATTTTTAGAAATCTTCTTTCTCTCTCCCTATTGGGGTTTTTGCTTACCTATTTTTGGGTAAAATTTGGTCTAGATTTGGAATTTGATGTCTGAAATTGCATTATCTTTCAGATTTGGTGAGATGATGAGAGACTTAAAGGCGGAAGGCTAATTCTAAAAATAGTCGTTTTGTGAAGTGCCAAACTCTAGCGGATGAGTATAACCGGTAGTAGTCGACTTTCAATTTTAGTAGCTCAAAATTTTCATGGTCATCATATATTGAATTTTTTAGGAGACATTGAGAATTGGTCAGGCTTTCATTCGACATGTTGGAAAGCTTTCAACGAGATTTCTGGAAAAAGTTATAGAAGGTTGAATTTCGTGTTTTAACATGGGAAGAGATGGCAAATGAATTAGTGGAGTGAGTCCGTATATAAAATAATGCGACGTGATTATATTTCCATGGTGGCGCTCGATTGTTGAGTTGAACAGTTTCCGTCTGTGCCAATTTTGGACTAATCGTACGTCACATTCAAAATTTCTTTCTCCGCCATTTAGAATTCTGTTTAGGCCCACTAATTTTCGGGAAACTCTTTTTTTATTGAACGTCTGGTTGATTCCATGAATCCATGAATCCATGTGTCCTGGCAAAATTTCTCTCATTGTACACTGCGCGGCCTTGCCATTGCACATGGAAGAGAAAGTAGGACGTAAAACTCCATATCATTTCATTTTTACGAATCCAATCAGGCAGAACTCTAAAATTCCCCACCCCCATTTAGATATTTAGGGCATGACACGCGCTTAGACTGAACTTCAACCAGTCATCCGAACACAATTTAATGCAATTAAAAAAGTCAACCTCAGATACTTTTAAGTGGTAAACTCTAATTTATTAGTCGAAAAATAAATATATGTTCAAAATATATAAATCGTTTAAAATGATATTTTATATTTATAAAATAGATCAAACACTGTAAATACGAAAATTAAACGCAAGAAATATCATCAAAATTATAGACCATGCTGACTGAGGTGTGAACAGTTTACATCCGGTGCCGCACACATTTATTTCTTCTTGTGGTTCAGGTATAACAAGATTGCGAGTAAACACAGTCTTTGTATGTGTATCAAAGTTTGGAATATACACGCTTTCTATTTTATCCTCAGTAAACGACGAATTGAAAATGGCCAAGCAGGGTCCCTTTGTTCGAAAAATGTCCATATGAGTAAAGTACCACATTGAACCAGGAACGGATTCAAGGATGAAAACATCTTTAGTGAAGGTGGGATGCATGATAAAGTTTCCATAAGATCCGTACTTCAAATGCAGAAATTCTGATTCATTTCTAAGAATTCGTAAATCGCCTAATGCCAAATGTCTAAATTCGCCAATATATGAATCCAAGGGACGTTGCGGCTCGGCAGACTTGTGGACTGTGGGTGATGGTGTTGCGTTTTCTAGTTTTGTCAGGTGCTCGGTCATATCGTCCATTATTTTACATACACTTCGGGCATTGAACCACGGAGCACCATGAATTAACATGTCCAAAGCGAAGATATTGATGAGAGATTTGGCAGCGTATGCTTTCAGGCTGTTGTCACCAACTATAGCTGTATGGACACCAACTGCTCGTCCTGGGATAATTGAGTACTGACTTTCATAACCTGGTAAATCACCACCTTGTGTAAAAGTTGGGTAACCTGCAATATATATTAGGGTAGGTCATAAAATAAATTGCAATTTTAGACCTAGAGGATGGGATACTAGGAGTGCAAAGCTACTGCCTTTGGTCAACTCACGTGTTTCATCGGGCAGGCAGTGTTCATATAAGTGTCAAACACTTGATGGACTCTTCCCTGTTGACTTCAAGCAATCCAAAATCTTAATGATCTTACCTCTATAATGACCTTTTATCCAGCCCAATGTATTAGAATCTTTGGTATAAGATACTTGTATATCAGGTTGCTCAAACCCACGAGATCTAGGACCAGCGTCCTCAGTTCGAAACATCCAAGGCTCAAACAGTTGACCCAATATCTTTTTATCCATAACCTCACGCCCGTCTGTATTTAATCCATCTTCTAAATTGAAGAGAAGCCACTTGGCCATATCATTTGCAGACAGACATAAAGCTGTTCCTGCACCAATAACTTCAAATCCTCTATGAGAAAAAAAGATATCAAAGTTTAAACATTATGCTGATGGTTTTTGATAAAGCATCTTGGGGGCAGTCTTCTCAGAATTGTTACAAAATATTTCTAAAGTTATTATTTTGAAGTATGTCATATTCAAAAGTGATAAAGAAATGTAATTTATTCAGTGTTTTCATCATCTTGTGCTTGGTTTGAAACAGATTCTAATTGTTATATTCATTTATAATATTATATCTGCAATTTTACTCAATATTATCTATGTGTGAATATTTATTTGTGAGTAAAAATTTTCAAGATAAAAAAAAAGAACGGAAAGTATGTTCTATTTGTTGACTTACTTCAGTGCCGAGAATGGTATAGAATATGGATTTCTATTGTAAGACATCACAGGACCAGCAAAATCATTAGTCAGTCGTTCTTCTAGACTGAGGAATAATGGTCTGGTTATTCCAATAGGCTCAAGTACGTGTTTTCTAAGTAGCTTTTCAAATGTATCGTCACCAATATCCCTTATAACTTCTTCAACCAAGACAAATAAAAGATCACTCTGGATAAATTTTTCTCTAAAATTGGCTATTTCTGGTGTAAATCTTATGTTTCTAAAAATGGAATTAAGAAGATTTGTATCATTATCAGAGAAACTATACTATCATAATTCATGAGTTTAGTTAAGTGCATTGCTTCATATTTAAAAACAAAGTATGTAGAAGCGTTGAATGCCCCGGTATAAAATCCACATTACATCATGAATGTTTATTACCTCCTTCCCTAATTCGAGTTTTACTTACTAAAGTGAAGCCCGGTAGAAATATGTATTAGTTTCAGACGATGTTTGATACCCACACAAGTTCTGTGTACGTCTTTTGTTTACATTTGGCCAATTGTACGTACATCTATTTTGGTGTTGTCTTTAACAATACCTCTGCACAGGGCTGTAAAATGTAAAAACAAAATACTTACGATATTAGTCTATATCTACCCATTGCTCTAGCAATTGGAATAATGTCTAAATTACCATATCCAGTTCTCATTGCTAAGATGTCTTTCAGGTTGATATTTTTAGTTCTATGAGTGTCTTGAAATCGAACCCAAATTCCAAGAATTTCAGTGATCGGTGTCTCCCATGTGTAACTGAAAAAAATAATCAAATTCCCTTAAACTCTACAACATAAATTATGGTCGTCACTGTATAAATACAACTTTACAATTGCGTAAGCTATGATTCATATTCAACTTTAAAATCGTATAAGTTGTAATACACATTAAACAGCACAATATGTGTATGTAATTTTACATATTAAAAAGCACAATATGTGTATATTATTGTACATAATATATAACTTTACACACAAATTAAACAGCACAGTATGTTTAAGTTATAGTACGTATTGCACTTTACAATCTGTGTAAGTTAGTGTACAAATTAAACAGCACCATATGTTTAAGTTATTGTACATGAAATTGAACTTTACAATCTGTGTAAGTTAATGTACACATTAAACAGCACAATACGTGTACGTTATTGTACAAATTAAATAGTTTTAATATAGTTAAATATATTATATTCAAATTATAGTACAAATTAAACAGCACAATATGTTTAAGTCATTGTACGTATTAACAGCACAATTTGTGTAAGTTATTGTACACATTACACAGCACAATGTGTGCAAGTTATTGTACATATTAAACTCTACAATTTGTAAGTTATTGTACGTATTAAACTCTGCAATCTGTGTAAGTTATTGTTCAAATTAAACAGCACAATATTTGTAAGTTATTGTACATATTAAACTATACAATATAGAAGTTATTGTACAAATCAAACAGCATAATATTGTAGTTCTTATACGTATTAAAACCTGTAAGTTATTGAACAAATTATAAAGTACAATTATATGTGTACGTTATTTTACGTATTATACTTTACAATATGTGCAAGTTATTGTGCAAATTGATTTTTATGATTAAACAAACCGTGAAAAACTTATCAGACGACTGTGGTTCAAATCATGAACCAAATGCAGTAAGATAAACTATATTAATGGTAGATTTAGCTTACATATGTCCAGATAATTCTAGATAAATAAAGAGACTGTGCCATTTGAAAAGCTATTTGTAATTCGGACACATTTGGCGGTGAAAAAAGTCTCAAATCGTGTCTTTTTACATTTATCTGCCTTCTATTGAAAAACTAAATGCCATATTTCAAACATAGCATCAAAACGTCTATCATGTTTGACAGATGTTTAATGTTGAGGCATTCATTATTTACTACAATATAGTTTCTAGTTAATAAAATATGTTCTAAAGGTGCACTCGCACATTAGTTTACCAGTTGCGATTACCAATGCGTATGGTTGCGAATAATGAAAGTGGTCATAAGTTCCGAACGTGACCCCTATATTCATTCGCAACCATACGCAACTGGTGATCGCTATGGTGTGAAGACTACTTTAATTATATCTAATATGGCTGATCAATGTATGGTTTGGTCGAGCACTTTCTTTAGCAGGCTTTAATAGGTCATTGCGCCTTGGAAAATTTAGCACTCTGTCAAACTATGTGAATCTTTCGGGTTAAAGGTCAATCGTTAAGAATTCTAAGATGAGTTTCTAGCCTAGGATCAAATTTGATTGAGCTCATGTGTTTGGGTTTATAGTAAAAGTTACTACGTCAAGCTGTCTAAACATGGCGGTTTCAAGATGGCTGACATTATTGGCGGTAAAGGTCAGAGAAATAACAACGGATGTTGAAAAAATCTGTTAACTCTTTACTTTGGTATTTTCTTGAATATTATAAAGGTTGGTTTACAGTTCATATTCATCAACCTCCTATCAAACTCTCAGATAAAATCTCTACTATCAGACCTTACACACGGAACAAGCCAGTCTATGACAGCGTTTTACTATCAATATTCAAACATTGACACAAGAACACGTTTTGCTGTATTGGAACCATGATAGTTGAAACAAATGTAATCGAAATTGGTTATCTCGAATGGGAAACGTAGATTGACTTTTTGACTTGTTGAAATCTTGGAACTATTGAAAAAAATGTGAAATTTTATTTTTTAAATTTTGGTTTTAACAAAAAAAAACCCAAAAAATGGAACTGTTCTTTAGTGTTAAACATGAAATTTCCAAACATTTTTCGCCCTTGGAATTTCTAAAATATTATTTTATTGATAACTATTTTAATGTGTTTTTTTTTTCTATATATCTCAGAGTATCTTAACATTCAAACGCCGATAATTCTTTACACACATGGATGTGCAGGCTCACATTTCGACGGTGAGCAGTGAACGCTATTACTAATTGGCTTAGCTAAATAATTCCCGTTTCTGAGACTTAGTTACAATTGGTATGAAAATGGCGCACCTAAAACACTATGAGCCGTATGCTGCGGTCGAACTTTAGTCGTATACTTTACTCAAAGTGGAGCTTAAGTCAGACTTTATGTATGCTGCGCTCGATCTTTGATGTAAGTCATGCTTTACTCGAGTGTTTTGTGGACAAAACTAAAGTAAAGTCTAAGGTAGGGTGGTAGCAGACTTTAGCCGTACTTTATATACGTTTGCGATTGAAATTGTGGCAATGGAAGATTATTTCAACCAATTACACCAAATTATAGATATTTACCATGTGGAGAGGAGATTTAAAGACCGCTTCAGATTTCCGAAGGATGCCGTTCTGCATATTTTTGAAATGATTTCTGGTACAACACGTACAATATAATCATATATTTTTGAAAAATTCAAAAACGTATCAATCACCTTTTCTATTAACAAATATATTCGAAATTAAATTATAATTCTTTGAGTTGGTTTTCCGTAAATACACAGAGGTAGTTAAACTTAGCAAAGATAAGTTTAAGTTGAAGCCATGCATACCGAAATGAATTAGTTACAAAGTCGAACTCAGGCGAAACTTTACAAAGTCTGACTTTACCCGAAGTCTGACTTAGCGTTAAGTTCGAGCGCAGCATACGGCCCTTAAATTCAGACAACACTTCTTAAGTTTATACGGGTCATTCGCCCTTTAAACTGTGTTTTGATCAGTGTTTCTTCAGACATCCTAAGAAAATATTAAAGGAAGTCAGTAAAGAAATGGTGTAGAAATAATAGACAGGTGTCAAGTAATGTAGACCAATATTGTTCAAATGTCAATGGTCTTTTATAGTAAAATTATTTAGGAAGGAAGTATTGCATTCATGCAAATATCCATTAAAATAACGATGATTGCTCGATAACAAAAATTGTAATGCAAAAAGCAAAAAATGTAAAATACGTAAATAAAGAGGGAGGAGGGGGATGTGGTCAAGCTTGAAAATATGGAAGGATTGTTCATAAACCATGTCTCTTTTTGGTACAGAGATATATAAAATTTTTGAAGACAGTGTAAATCCATTCTTGGTTTATCCATTAAGGTTAATAGAGGTTAATCCATGTTTGCCTATACATGTATTTTCATTTGCTTTTTAAAGAATATTTCAATTATCAAAAAGAATTTCGCCCTAACGTTCAGTTTTAACTCTGCTTATAGACTATTATGATAATTATTTCAAAATACTACACGTAGATCGTCACATACTGCACCTTTAAATCATGATTCTTGATCAGAATTTAGAGTATTATCATACTAAAAAGGACAGTTTTTGAATTTAAGCATAACTTTGTGTAATTGTTAATTATTATCAAACTTATGAGCCCTATCGAAAATCAAAAAATATTCAATATGTGATATTGCCCCTTTTCTTTGAGACACGTTCTTGTTCCTCCAAATGTTTTTGATAGCATTATCAGTTATTGCAGAATTTTGTCGAGACTGATAAATTCTTTTTGATCGCGCTATTGAAGTACCTTTTCGCAATTCGGTAATATCAGAAAATACATGCTTGCAATTAGTATGACTTATGACTCTTCAAACTTTGATGATGGGTTTCCTTATTTTTAGTGTCAAATTAAGCAAACTATTTGATTAATTAGGCTTTCTAATGAATTATCGTGTATTCTTAATTATATCATTATGTTCTTATTGAATATAATTAAGAGTTTTAACCATTCATAAATGTCCATGTATATGTACAGTCTGGATAAACAAAAAAATGCATTTTTGACCTTTCTTGATCGGTCATTCATTGGGATTCTGCTGGTAATTCTCTTCCAATTTAGCTAATTATGAATTAATTATGTGAGGCAAATTGGTATTTTTCAAAGTAATCATGAAAATAAGGGGAGAATCCATCTTTAACATATCTAAAGTTTTCTTGTATAACACTCGTGTAACCACAATATAAAATAAATATTATGCCTAAGGATCATTTAATGCTGGTGGTAGTGTTCTTCCAAAAATCCTAATAGAAACCAAGTTGCAATTAGGAGGATGCTTGGTATGCCTATAATTATGACACTAAACGTGAGATCATGGGTCTTTTAATCAGACAATCTGAACCGAATTTATAAGGTCAACATTTCATCAGTTTGGGTTAAAGGACTTTTTGCGTCTATTTTTGGCTTAGCAGCTGATGGAAGAAGATATAATCTACGCACCATTTTTCAGAATAACCACCGGACGTCTGGCTACGTAGGACAAATGGACTAATTGGGTGACGCCAGATTCCAACAACAGGCTTCTTAAGAAAACACTTACTTTTTCTGATTTGCAAGGAGTTTAGCCAAAAGTGTTGCTGTAAAGGTTTGGGTGCCAGCTCCAAGACAGAAAGCAGTATCACTTCCGGTTTTGATATTCGTGTTTTGGTTAGCTGTTCCATAACCATTAGTATAAGCAACTTCACCATTAGAAACTAGGGCTAAACTAGCTGCTGGTATCCGAGCACATCGCATCACCTCAGTCATAAACTGATCCATACGAATTGCCTCGGGTTGAGACAGTCTACTTCTTACTCCAATGATAAAAGTGCCCAAAACGAGCATGAAAATACAATTTATATCCATGATAAACGATTAATATATTTTCGACACTGTATTCACATTGGTTGTATTTAATGCCTTCCTGTCTTTGAATGGTACAACAATAAAACAATGAATTGTTGCCGCCTGTTTTGTATTTTTGGCACCATTTGTCATGGACTGGAATATATCACGTGATACCATCAGGAATTTGATCTGGAATGATTTACAGATCATGAAATAAAATATCAACATATGTTCACCTCGGGCAGCGTCATTACCGTTTATCATATTGTATTGTTTCTTTAAATAACAAATAATGTAACATCATCTTCATATTAGAAGATATAGCGCAATAAACATGAATAATGTATCTTATAGTTTTCTATGGGTGTCAGACATAATCAATGTATAACCTTCAGCATTTCGATTCCCTATAGGCACATTTTCTGTTTGATGTAGAGCTTTATTGAGACTCTCGTTGGATTTTCCACTGAATACAATTAATTTTTAATGAAAAAATAAATGATTTAACATATGAAAATACAAAAATATCTTCGAGTCAATAATTTCCAAAACATTTCAATTAAACTTATTGCATAAATGAATTATCCCGCATGTATTAGTACAAGAATAAATCAACTTAATTACTTTAGTTAATATCCATATCAGTATGCCATATCATTTAATTGATAAGAAAAAAAAACCGAATTATATACAAATTCAATATACCGACTCCGAATAGGAGAATTCGATGTACATTGTGGAATTATCAAATGGTAGAACAAATCGGGAATACAATACACCCGGTAGTGTAACGAATACGAAATTAACCGAACTTGTTCGTCCTCGTCGAATCAAAGTTATGCATGAGAACTATAAGTTATATCTTCACCAGCACCGTTAGCCTACCAAAAATTCGATTTATTTATATAAATAATTAAGATACCCAGTTGATTCTTTCTTCTTGTATAAGATAAGGATAATGATGAATATTGATATGTTAAAAAAGAATGAAAAAAAAAGCATGAAATAAATAAAATCTTATTTTATGATATGTAAAATAACTATTCCGCTCGTAATTTAGTTTAAAGACTTACATTAAAACTCTCTACATCGTTGGATTGTTAAAGTAATGAATTACAGAGTAAGCTAGCCTAAATATTATTTTTATTCCCCCAATAGGACACTTCGGAATATATATGTTATCCAATGTTTTCACAGGGGTCTAAGTGATCATCTATTGAAATTCAAATTATTTTTCTTCAATTGTTAACCACAAAGAATGATTACTTAATTTCATCAAAGCTATGTTTGTTATACAAGTAATTATGTATAGTACATGATGATAAAAGTCTCTACTGGTAAGATCTAACAGTGCCTATTATAGCAGTGTCACTCTACTTGAAGTACAATTCAGGTTTTAAAGTGCTCTCCAGTTTTTATTATATTAATATTTATCGGTTGAAAAATACGATTTGAAATCAGTATGTTAACCCCCATGGCATAGGAAAATTCGCGATTGACCTGTAGTTCTATGCAAGAAAAGTAGCCTAGGCTACGTAGTTTTTTATGTCCCCATGACAGAGTCCAATGGGCCAAAGAGATACTAGGAGACGGACATGTTTATCTTTACCGAATTTACCTTATTCAATTTAATCTTATTTAAGATTTTTCGATTATAAAAGCGTCTTAGAAAAAAGATAGGGCTTGAATTCTGGTGCATTTAGGCCGGTCTATATCCTGTCCCTAGTCCGTTTTAAATCTGAAAAAAAAACTATCTTTATTCCATTTCCAATCCGTAATAACATCAAAATAGGATTGATTGTCCGAAATCTCTTATTTTCCCAAGTGGCCTTTCTTATCTCATTAACAATCACTATCAAAACAATTTGTATGGGCAAATAGGTTATGATGTTTTATCAATGTGGACTCATTAACACCTGATTTATTGATTAGTGTGACTGACAGAATGTAGTTGCCATAAAATAAAAAGATACGATTAGCACAAATTGTCCAGATTTATACAGGACTGTTTCGGGTTATTTTACTTTCAAGATGGCTGAATTACCATGATTGTCAACAAATATTTAGCTGGTGTCAAGTGAAGGGAATTCTGTGGTCCATGGTAACTCTTGTTTGTGATTTACTTTACTCTTTTGCATTTATAATACTACGGTTAAATGCTTATGAAAGCCTAAGTCTACTGAAGTGAATTTGATACAAAAATGATCTGCGAAATCAAATGTGAACTAAACACTGTGATTGTGGTCAGAACGTTATGATAGACTCACATTCTTGTTAGTAAATTAACTTTAACCAATTAATTTGAAAATAGTGTGAAATAGGCGTAGTAAATGAAGGTGCCAAGTGTAAGGCTGTAAGCCTGTGTCATAATGCCTTAACATGATATGATATGGCATGACTACAAACTACAATAAATATAGGCTATAGGTTTTAAAAATCTCATAGTGTTTCTTCCATAGTTTGTTTTAGCTTCCATAGAGATAGTAACTTGAGTATTTACAGATGATTACCATGAGTCTTGGAATCCTTGGTACTAGTAATTAGAAAAACTCCAAATTGACATTTATGATTTTTTCAGAATGTATTGAATAATTATCATTCTTCATTACAACCCCAGCCAAATTAAACGCTAAGATTAGCTTTAATTTACCTACTGTTCTTTGGAGCTCATATAATAAATTCAATTTGACATTTTGATAAATGTAATACTAATGATTCCAACTTCTAGAGCCTTTTTTTTTTTTAATGATACTGGTGTTTTCTGTATTTTTAGGTGTATGAAGAAATCAAAATTCATGATATATAGTTCCAAATTGACAACAACATGGAGGTACATCATTATAATGATCATCCCTCAAAATTTCGGATGACCTCAGATATGATAATTGGGGGAAGGTCAACATTTGATGAAGTGTTTCTGCCAATTTCTGATTCTAGCTGTTTAAAAACTCAAAATCGAGAACTCAAAAATTTTGCACAACAGGTAGAAGAATGTCACGACAGCCATTGTAATGTATCAAATAATTCAGCATTGGAAAGTCTCCTTCCAGGCAATAAACAGGAATCAGAAAAATCAACACGTTGTTACCATGCCTCCATAACATCAGTGATTGTAATGGCACTGATTTTAATGCTGGTTATATTTGGTCATAACTATATTCGAATTGTGTTAACATGGATTGAGAGTCAGGATGTGGAAGTAGGATGTGTTATATTTTTAATTCTTTATATAATTGTGTCTTTCCCTATAGCGTGGGGTTATGTGTTATTAATGATTGCCGCAGGATATTTATATGGTGTTATATATGGACCGATTGTCGTTGTTTGTTGTGCTTTTGTTGGTTTATTTATTTCAAATCTTGTGATGAGAACATTATGTCGTAATTGTTTCATAGCCAAATTCTACAATGAAAAAGTTGCGTCCCTGATTCGTGTGATTGAGAGTGACCAAGGGTTTAAAGTGATAGCGTTGAGTAGGTTAACTCCTATACCCTTTGGTTTACAGAATGGCCTATTTGCTGTGAGTATTACTATCATATATATTGATGTAATGATGTCATCAACTCCCCATCATGTCCAAAGGACACCACTTTTGACTGTTAGAATTACTTAGCCATTCTCTCTTACAATGTGAGTCCTTCATTCTTGTTGATTGTCGTGGATCCAGTGAAAAAATTTGAGTTTCCAATTGAACTGGATTTGTAAAATATTCAAACTATAAAGATCATTGGTAGGCATAGTTCAAACAAAGACGCTAATTTTTGTACAAATATTTTTAGCAGTTAAGTCAACTAACTTCCCAATAGTATCATGATGACATATTCCCATGATTGACAAATACTTTTAAATCAATAAACTTATTTCCCTAGTTCTGATTTATTTGAGCTTGAAGTTAAATGTATTTCATAGATTTTTAAGGCATATTGTTATATAAGAATCAATTTGATAATGACCTTTTTTTGCAGTATTAGTAACATAAATGGCCTATTGACATATTTCTGTAAGCAGTACCAATAGGACATAAATTTTGTGAAGCCTCATTTAAAAACAGGAATAATTTCTGAATCATGTGCAAATTCACAGCTCTTACTTCACAGCTGAAGTTATGACATTTTTCTCCACCTTAAAAGTATCGGTACAAATTCATTCATTCATTTCAATTTTTAAATAAACAATTACACTGCAACAGAAACATATTTTACAAGAAGATTCTCCTGGTTTACTAATCAAACTTTTCGATTTTTCGATTGTTGGATAATTTCCATAAACATTGTATATTTTCAGTTAGCTGATATAAATATATGTAAATATTGTGCAGCATCATTAGTGGGATTACTACCAATGGCTGTTTTAAATTGTTATATGGGATCAACTTTGAGGTCTATGGATGCAGTATTAACTGATGAATCTAGTCAAGTTACAGCATATTTAGTTCTTGGTGGTCAGGTAAGAAATGAAGCATTCTGTATTATCATTTGCCTACTACATGGGTTTTCAACTTTTTAGGTTTACTCTTTAGCTTTCCCTACAATCTGTTTCATGTCTGATTTTACTACTAAGCACATCCTTTCAAAATTACCCCCAAGCTGAAAAAAATATGAAGTAATAATATTACCAAATATGAACTCTCTAGAAGGATGCCTAATTCACAAATCAAGTCACAGGGTGTTCAAGAAGAGTGAATGTGCCCTGCCAGTAGTCTTGTGAATTCAACTTTTTTGACAACATTGTCAGTAAATTGTATATCCATATTTGCTAATTTGTTTCCAGATTGCAGTTACTATTGGTTTACTTTGGTTTGTAATTCGGAAGGCCAGAGTGGAATTGAAGAAAACAGTTGAAAGTTTAAACCCAGTGTCAAAATTACAGGACTTTCATATCAATATTGATGGTGATCAACTTTCTACCTGAGACTCTAAATTGGTAGAACTATTAACTTATTAGTTTATTTTAAACTTAAATACCAAGGACCAAATTCTTGAAAACTTACCTTTAAATGATTTTAGCATTCCAGTGTTATTTGATTGGTCTATCAGTTTTAAACTGAATTTAAAGCTAGAGTTATTAACCAATCAAATCGCTGTATTTATGAAATTTTGATTTTAGTTTTGAAATCTATGTGAATTAGAACAAAAGGTACAGTACTTTGATTGTATATTCCAGTCATGTCTGATGGAAGGACTATTGGGGTCTTGTAATTTATTGCCCATTGAAATGAGAGAAAATTTTGAATTGACATCCCTGTGTAATACTCATATCTTATTCAATCTGTTTTCACTGACAAGTTACAAAAACATGGTTTGATTGATTCATTGAGCCATGTATACATATCAATGAGCTTTTTGTGTGCTCTGAATTTTCATTAGTTTAGAATTAGATTCAGAGCACTATTCAGAAGGTTAGAAATCTGTTATTTCATTACATTAGTTAACTTAAAATTCAATTTTTATTATTATATTAGATATTGGGAACTAAACTGAATTAAGAACTATAAACATATTTTTATCCTGTACACTGTATTTTAGAACACAGATGTCTCACTTTTTAAAATTGTATTGAAATTAAATGGGATGCATATTCTGCCTTTGCATATATTTGTTCAAAAATTTTTCGTAAAAAGTGAATTGTACAAATTGAATAAATATTGAATATAAGTTGGTCTATTTTAAACCTCTTGGGGTATACAAAGCACTAGACGTGAAATTATAATACATTTGATTTCTAAATGGCTTGTTCTGTAGGTATTTACTATGTCAGTAAACCTACAATCTAGTCCATAGCTGTTACATGATTTGAAAAATCAATTTCACAAAGTTTGTTTTTTGCTATGTTATGCATTCTATATTCTTACTTCGGGTTTGTTTAAAGAATAGATATTTTATAATAGAATTGTCGTGCATCAATATTTCTAGGTCAGTAGAATATTCAACCAAGCAAATTCTCTATTCATATAAGATTTATTTATCATTTTAGAGTAATTTTGCATCGCCGATCAATTTCAGTCTTTGTTTTTGATTGGTTGCACAAATTATGATAAATTTATTATTTATGGATGACGAGTAGGATTACCTTCAGGAAAAACCCCCAAAAATCATCTTTTTCTTAATTTTAATCAGATGGATTATTACCTTAAATAATGTATTTTTTATTTTGAAATATAGACATATTAAATCAACCTAAAACATCTTGTTACTCAAGTATATGATGCAGACACAAGAACAAGTATTTCTTGTAGAACTTCAGTAAGGACGCAGGGTGAAATTGGTCAGATGACTGAAGATCAAAACAGCATGAAACTCTGAGTTACAAAATGTTTTTTTTTTTAATACTTCTATATTTCCATGTTGTTCTACAATTGATATATTGAACACCATTTAAACAGTAAAGATATTTTGTTATTATGTCTTTTTTTATTTATATTAAAATGAATTTGTGTAATTTCATTTGGAATACTGTCATACTATGAAAGATTTCAGGTCTTAATGTTGTATAAGTTAAAGATCATAGAAAATATTTATTGTTTATTACTGTTTTAAGATCTAATTGGCACAGTTGTAAAACATGCACACAATATATTGGAATATATATCAATGTTCCATAGACATAGCAACAAGAACAAAAAAATTGCTGACTGGTCATATTGTTAACAAATGAGATAGCAATGATGCATTATGTAAAGACATGGTCAACTAAGGTGACAAAAAATTATAGGGCCATATGCTTTCACAAATCCTTGATTCATTTGCCTAATCAGGTACAGAAAAGTAAGACATAAACTCCATACATTTCATATTTCATTTGTTTGATTTTATTGGTACATTAAATGTCTTATGTAATACTCAGAAACAGACATATAACAAGTAATATAACTGAACAATGAATAGGCACTAATTTGGTTATACAAGTTACCAAGTATATAATGAGAGTTAATGAATAATTCATTAGATTGATTATTATATAGCAGGTGTTTAATTAGGGTATATTATTATATTAAACTACCAATTACCATGATTACAATAGTATCTACTGAAAAGGGCATGATTATCTTGTAGATATTACAAATCCTTTTTTGTATTAATTGCAATATGGCTTATTGAGCAATTTCATAAATTTTCTTCAATGAGATTGGACAGTTTCTGAAATTCTCTTTAAATTTGATTGAACAATGTTCTCAATTTTCTTTAAATTTGATTGAACAATGTTCTCAATTTTCTTTAAATTTGATTGAACAATGTTCTCAATTTTCTTTAAATTTGATTGAACATTGCTCTCAATTTTCTTTAAATTTGATTGAACAATGTTCTCAATTTTCTTTAAATTTGATTGAACAATGTTCTCAATTTTCTTTAAATTTGATTGAACAATGTTCTCAATTTTCTTTAAATTTGATTGAACAATGCTCTCAATTTTCTTCAAATTTGATTGAACAATGTTCTCAATTTTCTTTAAATTTGATTGAACAATGTTCTCAATTTTCTTTAAATTTGATTGAACATTGCTCTCAATTTTCTTTAAATGAGATTGAATTATTTCCTAAATTTTCTTCAAATATAATAGAACAATTTCCTTAATTTTGATGGAAAGATACATGTACATATAATAATATAATCTTTAAAAACAAACCGTTGTACATATACTTGGTGCAAAGAAATATGTAAATATTGTTTCATTCTATGAATTATGTAACATTTGGTTAGTTACAACATTAGATGGGAACCTATAACTTAGTTTTTATATTCACTCTGTGACTGACTCATGTTAGAAAACTATGTATTATTGGAAGAATAGTTATTCTTTATCTTTCAATAATATAAAAAAAAATATGAAAGTGATTTTGTAGAGGTCTATTATAGACATAAATAGATATAATAGTGTTAACAGCTATTCTGTAGCTCATCAAGCAATCTTGATTAATTCAATTGAACAATGACATAGTTAATGCAATGGATCATTAGTGAAAGGAATAATAGTTGATAGATGCTTCAAGTTGTCTTTAGTGTTATGCAATTAACATTTTACTGTTGCTTTGAAAATTGTTTAAAGGAATACTATCTATCAGGATAACCAAAAATTGAAATGTTTAAAATTTAAAATTTGTAAATTTTATTCATCAGTGGTCTTACATGATGTCAAAACTTTACGACAGAATCCCTCTATAATCCAATAAATCTATAAAACTAAGAAATAATCCATTAAACTAAGTAATTTTGAAACATGCTTAAAAGCATTTTTAAATAATTGATTTATCGTTTTATATAGAGATTTTATTCTTTAGTCATGGCACCTGGTAAGTCTAACTGATGAATATATACTTTTATTAACCAAATTTGATACTTTAAATTTTATGTCTAGGTTAAGAAGAAGTAGTATTCCTTTAAGATTGTGATCTTTGTTAGTGAATTTAAACAGTCATAAAGCCAAAATGATTGATAGCCGTCCTTCAAAAACAATGAAATATTTCCATGCCTTCATGTGTAGAATTTGTTATTTTGAATTTTGTTTGGTTTAGTGAAAATCAAATCTCAAATCCACATAATATTCAATACAGGTCAAGGTTGTAGGTTAAATAAGCCGTAGGAGAAAGAATTTTTTTTTTCAACTTAGTGATCTTTGGCATTCCAATCTCACTATCATGGTTTAAAGATTTTAAGCATAATTTTGGAAAGAAAACTCTGTGCTTTATCAGTTTTATAAGACAGAATTTTTTTCTTTGGCATTCTGATCTCACCAACATGGTTTAACCTTTTAAACACGATTTAAAAACCTCTGTGCTCTACGCATTTACAATTTAAACATTCTTTGATCAAAGATTTTAATTTTTTAACTAGTTTGTCACGCTTACGTGTAGTGTTTTGTGAGTTTAAAAAGGTAATTATCATTGCATGTTACATTTCTTATGAATAGAAATCTAAGTTTGTAATTTTAATGCAGTTATAGATCCTTCCTTGTTAGTTGCCAAACTGAATCTGTATTTCTCTATTAATTTTCAATATTTCAAGATTTGATCTGCCTTGGTAAGATTTTAACACACTGAATAGAAATTTTATTTGTAAATTTATTATTTATCAAACCGTATATTGTGTGCTTCTTTACTTATGCCTATTTCTGTAAAGATATGTAAGATTTTCTTGGTCCTTGCCTAGTTTATATTTAGTATTTATTATCGTTGGGGCCAAAAAGGTGCATATTTAGAGAGCTCGAGCTAGTACTACTAATATGTATTATTATTTATATATTAGAAAACCTTACATGTAGCAGACCTGTAGGCCAGTTATCGCCTTCCAATATTCTTTAATACGGGTTAATAAGACCATCTCAAAATCCATACTTGTGATACCATGCAGTACAATAAATGATACTTTATTCAGATGATTCCACTATATAATCAACATTGATTTCTGTGACTTTGCGCAAAAGAACAATGTCTTTCTGGTTGTTCCAGCATTTTTGTGCTATATCTTGTTCTAAAAAAATGTTAGCTCATCCTCGTTGCATTCATACCAGTGCATTTTATTTTGAGGTATTTTAACTGACTTAAAGGGGCATTCCGATTTTTTTGTAAAGCATTTTCATTATCAAAAATGTAAATTATACATGAAAATATTTCTAAAGTATGCTATATATATCTATGTATCTACTTGATCAAACTGAATTTGTTTTAAAAGGGTAAATTAAAAACAGAGAATACTAATTGTTAATTAAGCAGTTTAACCTAGTTTTGGGGTTTGGCTTTATAATGGCTTGATATTATAAGTTAAAACCTTTGGAATATGAAGGAGAGGTTTATTTTACTTACAGTAATTTTCTAACAGCTTCCAAAAAACATAATTTAAAAACTTTATGTAATGTTTTAAAATATTTTTGGCAATAACAAATTAATGGCTGGATTTTTTTTAGTTAATACTCTCAGATACGTTGAGGGACACATTTCTATAGATTTTGGTGTATAGTTTTCACTAACTAAAGCAACAAAATTTTTTGACTTGCAAAAGAAGCGGAATGTTCATTACCAATAAAACTACTTAAAATATTATGGACTTCTCACATTTGTTTTGAATCGTCCTTGAGAGTTCAAGAATATCTTTTGTCGATTTTACATGATACATAGTTATATATTATATATCTATTTGGGTCAGTTTCATTCTTATTTTATATGTCTTCTGTGATATTCATTATTTTCAGCTNAATATTTTTTTGTTTGAAATATTGTTTTG